TTTGTATTATATTATTAGTATAAAGTACTTAAGAAATTATCTACTTTAATATATTAATATTACACTCTTTATTAAGAAAATAAATTATTTTATTAAGATATATAGTCTTATACTCCTCTCTATTATTAAGTATCTAGTCAAGAAGGCCTTCGAACGCTTCTGTAATGATTTTTTAAGGCCTACCCTAAACTGATACAAGTGCAGGCTATAGATCTCTGAATATAGTGACATTCTGCTTGATTCTATACACTGTTGCGGCATAGTAACGAAAGGCAGCAGCTATTTCTTTAGGGTCTACGTCAGTAGCAAGCAGAAGGGCCATATTCTCTACCGCTGCCTTTAAAAAACGCAGATTACTTATCGCGAAATGTAATACCAAGCTTAAAAAGCAATATAGGGCCGAATCGGGATAATAGCGAGCTTCATGAGCATTTACAAGCAAAATCTACAGCTATTTACTACGCATTTGGCGATTCCTTTTTTTGACCGCTTTTTTGCCCCGCCAGCACAGCAATTTTTGGGTCGCGCTAAGGATTCGCAACACTTTTGGGACGGGCAGTACCCCACTAAAAGTATTAGGACAAAACGCGCTTTTTTTTCTATACACGTTTTTTATCGCCTTTTTTAATCAATCACTATAAATCAACGCAAGGCTTTGGCGCCTCTAGAAATTAACAGGAGCTATGGCCAGGAGCTATCTCCATATTAGCGCGGTCAAATTATAGCCTACTATGAGGTAGGCCTATTAATTAGGAAAATTAGCAAAAAAGTAGATTGCACTAGATCTACTGTTTTTAATACCCTCGTACGAAATCCACTCTGTAACGAAGGCAAAAGCTTGCCACATTCTGGCAGACCCCCTGCATTAAATCACGTTCAAAAACGAAACATTCTACGTATTATTCGAGCCAATCTGAGAATTACTTATGCAGCTCTTCAACTTGAAGCTGGGGTGACTGTTTATCGTAATACCCTTTACTAAATACTCAAAGATGAGGGTATTACTAATTAGCTTGCTAAAAAAAGACCTCTTCTGACTTCTGAAGTAGTTGCTAAACGCCTTGCTTAGTGTTTAGAACGAAAAGATTAGACGTGAGATAACTAGCACAGAATAATATTCAGTGATGAATGTTCTCTTGAAAAAGGCTCTAGAGCCTGGCAAGTTTGAAACTTTTGTACGCTATAACAAAAGTGGGATAAGGATATAGTTCAACTATTTAAGAAAGGCAAGAATATTAGCGTCATGATATAGGGTGCTATTTATGGAAATAGGCGTTTAGATATCGTTCTTTTGGAACGTGATCCTGATTCAGAGAAGTCAGGATATACTGCCAACTCATATCTCACTATTCTCCGTGAGCAAATCCCTCGAACGTACGAACCTGGCCGGATTTTCATGCAAGATAACGCCCGAATTCATACTGCAAAAAAGGTTATGGCCTGGTTTGAGGAGGAGGGTATATCTCTGCTTGATTGGCCCCCTTATAGTCTGGATCTGAACCTAATTGAACACCTCTGGGCGCAACTTAAGCAATGGATTAACGATCACTACCTAGACTTAATCCAAATGGGTAAATCTGAGGCTGATTATCAACGTCTGTTTACCGCTATTCATGAGGGTTGGGACGCTATTAGGCAAGAAGCTATTGATGCCCTAATCAAGAGCATGGATACCTGTATAAATGCAGTGATTAGGGCCAAAGGATGGTATACCCGCTTCTGATATCTAGCTGCCTATTTAGGAAATTAGTACTATTCGAAAGAGCAGATTTTGGCACACCATTTAATTGATTCTTATAGGATTTCAATAAATACCGGGCGTACAGTAGTAATTTGTATGGGAAGAGTGGAAAATGTTGATGGGGTAAAAATGCGGGTGTCCCAATACTTTTGGTATAGTACTGTACGAGGTTAGTCCAAGTACAACATACCCCAGAACTGCCAATGGAAGGAAATTAGCTAAGAGGAGTTAACGACAGTATGGGCCGGAGGCCCCTGGCAGTCATCAGGAAAAATGGACAAGAGCCGAGACAGGAGAGCAGCGCATCCTCATCTACTGCGGCCATAACAACATGTCTTTGAGTTGGTGTCGAATCCGCGGCATTTCCAGTGCAGGACAGACTAACATTGACGATGAAGAACAGAGAGGTGCAGGTTCGCAGCAGCTCTAAAAGGTGGGCGCGGAGGCATCTGGCCCCCTTGGCAATCGCTAACTAACATCCCAGACCCCGGACACATGCCCAACGTCTAACTACTACGTAGTACATAATACGAGAGTACTGACTAGATCCCGAAACCCAGAGTAGGAGCGGCCGATCAACTAACTACGAGCGGTGTTTTGCGCAATCATGGGGGGTACTCAGGGAGGTACTTGATACTGGTAGGGATGGTTGTTGCTGGGACCCGACTTCATATGGCTTCAGATGAAATACTACTAATCACGCAGTACTACATACGTACAGAGTGTTCAATACACACATTTTTCGCTAACCGACTACTACATACTTGGTAGCCACAAACAATTCGCCATATCACAAGTGGCTAAAAACAATTCCCGTCCATCACCAGCATCAGCATTCATCAGCACTCTATCTCCATGGCCTCAATGAAATCGCTCCAGCTCGACCCGAATCGAGTGTAGAAATGACAGCGCTGGTCGGTAACAAATAAGAACTCTCCACGACATCGCAATTCGAAAACCAATTCCTTCACCTTTTCCCGCGGCACTGAGTGCACCATGTAGCTGCATCTTGGTCGGTCATAAGGCAGTAGCGTGGACAGTCGCTCTTGAAGCGCGGCAGATCGGTACTTCTTGTATGGTTCTTCCAAGACCGTTGTCACGTCAGGACCAGGTTCGGCGAGCCTAGCGTCAGGGACCGTTCCTGGGTTGTGGATGACCTATGCAGAAGAGTGGGGTCCGTCAGCGCTACGTGATGGACAAGACCCGACGCGTAGTCGCTCACCATCCTGTCTCCCAAGATGCCCGGGGTAGCTTTGACAGTCTGGCTAGCAATTTCCAAGTACGAGGCCGCCTTGTCCGAATACAGGTTCGGTGTCTCATCGAAGAAGATTCCGTGCACCCCCCAACCCGTCGTGCTGTGATCGTTTGACCACCCGGCGTACTTCACGATCTCCTCGTAAACTGTCGTCACGTCCCTCTTGCAGTAGTTGATACGAACGTACCCAACGGTACGCACGTTAGGTCGAGCAGTTAGCCTTCGGATTTCCCGACCATAGTCCTCGTCCGGGAGTGGGGAAGACCCAGGACCATTGTGTGGATTCAGTATGATTATGAAGTTGAGATTGGGATGGGCGGTTATTCTACACGCTGAAGGTTAGTCAGCGATAAAACCATTTCCCCCCAGATTTCGAAGGGGGAAGAAATGGGAGCAACTTATGAGTCATGGAGGGGTTCCCAGGCTCCAGGGAGCGGATAGATGTATAACGGAAGTAGAACGGTTGATTTCGGAGGCATCTTGTATGTGTCGAGATCGAGTAGGAGTAGGTGTGAGTAGCAGAAGGACTACAAGACGCAGGTGAAGTAGGTGAACGGGACAATGTCACGTGACACAACTGCTGACCGCCTCCGTCCTGTTTCCTTGGAGGTGACAATCGAAGGCCGCAAAGTAGGATGACCGACTAGATAGCGATTGGTTGCTGTAGTTTTCGTCAGATATGCGGCCAAGTATTGTTGCTTAAGCTGTTTGCTGAAACTTCACAAATGAAAGATGATCACGGGGCTTGAGAAAGTACTCCCAGTAGGGAGCTGTGCATCAAAAGACTTTGACATATGCTAAAATTAGGACGCCACTAGCATACTCTAGCTGAGCTCTGATATGGCGTAAGGCGTGCAGTGTAAGGGGCGGCCCGCAGAATGCCACCCAACCGTGACCCCTATGTTGGATTTTCATAGTGCCTTCTTTCAGGCTGTGTGGGGTAGCTCACAAGTCCAGTCTAGCTAAGCTTTCGGCATTCAGCCTCTTTGGCAGCCCTGATGTCGCCCGTAGAGACCACAGTGACACTGATACAAGAATAGCTAGCTGTGCTTGATCCTAGTCAGCGTATCTTGGACATTTGATGCGTACTAGTATGAAGCAGTGGAGGCGAAAAATTATCCGTCTTGGTGACCATTGCGGCAAGCCATAGGGCCGAAGAGAAAGAACATCGACATATTCGCCACGCATTGCGTACTCTGCTGACTCTGAAACCAACGTATCAAATCAAGTGACGCTGCGCTGAATCAAGTGCCAGATTCACCTTCAATACTGCACAAACCTTAATTAAGTTCCTCGCGGAGAACTCCGCATTGTCACCGACTGGCCAGGAGAGCAAAGCTTATGCATCACGTGATATATTAGTAAACTGACAGCTGTAAGCCAGGCAGGGGAAGTTCGCGAACAATATCATATGTGATTAGGAAGTCCGAGCCGTAGGGTAGGTCAGATCACCGAGGAAAGAGTTGCTTCACAAGAGCAAAGACAGAGAAAAAGTAATCATCAAATAATTTTCGTTTTGGACATTTTGAAAAGTAATAACTAAAGGGTACTCCGTACATAGCTTTGATTGGTTCGGCATGCACATTGTTACATCTCCATGTCGTCGATCGACTCACCAGACACCGCTTTCATGATGTCAACTACTTCTCTCACTGAATGGCCCTATCCTGTCCCGAGTTTGAAAATATGGAAACCACCTTTGCAGATGCGATTTCATTGTCTGTTAAGGCAGCGATATGCCCCTGGTCAAGGTCGCTGACATGAATGAAATCTCGAATGGCGGTGCCCTCATTCGTCTCCCAGTCTGTACCGTAGATTTTCAGGATAGGTCTCTCTCCGCTCATTGCCTTGACCACCACGGGCATCAAGTTGTTTGGTACGCCCCCAGGATCCTCTTACAGCATCCCAGGTGGATCGCATCTGGGGCTGAATTACCTAAGAGCGATGTTTAATTCTGTTTTAACAGCAAATTTTAGCTTCATTCATTATATTTACGTGTTCATTACTATATAATGTTTTCTATACATTCATTGAAAGCGACTATAAGGACTAGTTGTTCAACGTGGCTACGTGGAATGAAAAATGGAGAACGCCAGTTGTAGAATCTAAATTAAGGGGCGCAGCGAGTGCAGATACAAGTACAAATTGCTACGTCTTACGGAGCCGTGCATCAAAAGTCTTCAATATACGCTAACTGAAAAGAGTAAAAGCTAACCTTTCTAATCCTAGCAGAGTGCTAGTAGTCAGTGGGACGTAAGGGTGATCAGAGGGGCAGATGGCTGAAGCTTAACTAATGCGGACCGCTAAGCACATCAGATAGCCCAAAGAGGCTCTAAAGGTCTAAGAAGAAAGAGGGTTATAGCGGCAGTCCTAAGGCTCTACCCCTACAGCACATTTTATACATCATGCGGAAGCTTACTACGTAGATCTAGTGTGCTAGTGGCGCTCTAATTTTAGCGAAAATGATGACTTTTGCTGCACGACCCTGTACTGCAAGATTGGCTGCGAAATTGCAGTAGAAAGTGACCAATCAAAAGCAGGCAAAACGCAGGGGTTACGCGTAGAGATCGTTGAACCATTATACGTCTCCACCTTGTTGTCGGTAACATTGAATCACCAAGGAGTAGTGTAAATGTGTAAATCTTTCAAGAGACAGGCCACCTCTGTTGACCACACAAAGAGAATCGAGTATTAGGCTTACCAAGGGAAACATGGCTAGGGCTTAGTGATTGTTTTGTCGTCTTATTTACTGCGGTTACCTCCTGTCGAACTTAGGAGCGCTCATTGGTTGGTTCTTCTACGCGAACACCTGCGGTTCGCCTGCTTTTGACAGGTCAATCTCTACTGCAATTTCGCAGCTAATTCCGCTGTACAACACAGCAATGTGTATTTTACTAGTAGCTGCGCCCTGCGCAGCTTTTTTAGAGAGATCAGACCATTTCTTCCATTTTAACTACTTGACACCTCCTTGTTATGGTGTCAGAATCAGCATATCTCCCGTGTCACTGAATTGGCTGACTTTCCCGCGATTGACGGTCAGAACTCTATTGCAGGCTTGACATGGAGAACATCAAAATTTTAGAAATTTGTTGTTATCCTTTCTAAGGCTGAAGTTCTTTTGTCAAGTCTACAGCAAAAATTTGAATTCGTGAGAATATCTACTGGCCTGATTTAGACCAGGTAGTAATTGAAGCGGGTGTTATAAATGCTACACTGCAGGTTTGATGACAATTAAGTCATTACGAACTACTATGTACGTAGTATGTACGAAGAGAATGATATGCATGAGGGATGTGGACTACTACGATACCAGGTAGAAGTAGTCATAGCTCGGCGCTAGTATCCCTGACCCTGCACGATTTGTTTTCATGATCGCCTAAGCTAAATTTCTGATAGCGGTTGTTGACTGAGCGATTTATGTGGCCAAGGACGAAAAAGACTCTTAGATTCAAGTGGATTCGAGATCGTGGCGCTGTGAAGAAAACTAGTTTCTTCTAGCGCCAAGCTATTACTTCTGCTTGGTACTCTAGTACGTGATGATGATGTGTGTCGGGACCGATCCCGGTTTTTGGATTCACTAGTCGGTTGCTAACTATCTAGTAGCCACTAGCAGGAACCGGTCTCACTCACTTCCGCTTCTGGAACCCGCTTGATCAACCTCTAAGGGTTTCACAGGACTTGACGTGGTGTTTACCGCCTTTTCTAGATTCTGATCATTGGTAAACGATCTTCAATGGTTGCGCCGATCATCACTGACAGCAGCTCATGTCACAGATGTAATACTATCGACTATCATAATTGTTTACCGATTAATTACGGAGGTTTCCATTAGAGACTTTGGTCTTTACTTGTGACACGGAGCATGAAATGGGGAAATTCAATCAAATCTATGACTTGGCTTTTACTATCGTACACTCCGTTCATAGTGGTTGCAACAGGTCAGGTCGGTATGGCAGCAATGAAATCCTGCCAATGCGGCCCAAAACTCTCATAATAATTCTGGCTCAGATCTGTGAGGTAGAGAAACTCTGCGTGTTGGCTTAACTCATCCGCCAAACTCCTCCGATCGCCTTGGCTCATGCCAGTGCGTACGGAGAACATGATACAGCTGACACGTGATCTATCAATTGGAAGCGATGCCAGCCGGGCTCGCAGGGCTTTGGATGACGAATCCTCCTGATACTCCTGATAGGATGCCTCGAAGACGACAGTGATATCGACGTCAGCATCCGTGAGGCGGGCGTCAGGTATCGAACCTGGGTTGTGAATGATCTGCATAATGGAGTTAGCTTCGTTGGCAACCCGAAAGCCGCCCGGATGATGGATATATTCTCACGGTTCGAGCCGGCAGCAAACCAGCTGCGTTTTTGGCTGCTTGGTTAATGCTTTTGAGATAATCGGAGACCTCTGAAGTATATTCATTTGGGGTCTCGTCGAAGAAGATCCCATGTACCGCCTGATCAGTCGCATTGGGGTTCACAGACCACCCAGAATATGTAGAAATATCCTCGAGGACTTCGGTGAGATTTCTTTTGGCGTAACCAATGCGAACATACCCCATCATTCGCACATTTGGATACACGTTTAGCCTTTGGACCTCAGAGGTGTACTCGCTGGAGGGATATCGCGTTGACCCAGGCCCGGAGTCCGGATTGATTATCACGGTGAAGTTCAGGTTTGGACGAGCAATAATCCTAATTATATCTATCAGCCTTTCTGCCGCGAAGAAAACCCTACATTGCTAGAAGGATCGCAGCTTACGCCTCATGCAGCGGCTCCCAGGCGCCAGGGATGGGGTAGATATACAACGGTACCAGAACGGTGGATTTGAGACCCTTGGGATGTCTTCGTCGCGAAAATACGAAGGCTACTGGAAGGACGACAGCAAGAATAACGAGAAAAACGATGGCGAGTGAAAAGTACCAGAACCGTTTTCTCTTTCTTCGTAGAATTTGGGAGATTATGGCATCGTTGCCCTTCATGGTTGTGAAGTGTTGGGGCTGGCAAGCGGTAGGACGCAAGTCGCTTCGTTCGGACAAGATGGAAAATACATATTTACTGGTGTTATTCGCTGCCTCACCGTTTCCAATTTCGGTAACCTTCGCTGTATTCTCACATTCGCCTCCATAGAGGTGCCTGCCATCTTCGCCGCATTTATCTACATCCACTGGGGGAAGCATAGGTATTCGTAACACGGCGCTAGAAACCCCATGTAAAATTACAACGTCACGTAAGTGCCCTTACCGTGGTGAGGATAGAGTGCCCGGAAATAGTCTCATTGGGACTAGTTTGATTGTTTGACTGCCCAACATAACAGGGATGACCGTACATGATTGACAGAGCTATCTGTATCCGGAACGTTCGGAGTGGCGAATTCTAGCGCCGTGCTACGAATACTTACCGTAGTATGCCTCCCCCATAGTATCTATCCGTGAAATTTTGTTTCTATTGATAGCTGTCGCTTCCACCAGACGCTACCGTGTCCCGTCCAACTACCCATGCCGGCTTCATCTGCGGCTCTACTACTAGAGTCGAACACCTGCAGGGAAGTTCCGAGCTCCACGTGTACACAGTCCGATCCATCCAGGTGGATCCACGAAACGCAAACCAGAAAAGGCAAATAGAGGCGGCACAACCGATTGGCCGACCTGCCTGCGTCAAGAGATTAGGTTCTGTACGTAGTAATGACGCTTTCTTCGCTAAAATCCCACAGTGGTATTTTCTGTTTAGAGGATGTTATATGGATTGTGAACATGTACAGAGTGTTTACCGTTATTTCTCACATTTTAGCCTTAAGGCACCTGTATGATCTTACTGGCCTGGCCAAGCCCTTAACCTGGCTAGTTACGGAACGCGTTATAGAACAAATCTACCAATCATTCAATCAATCAATCAGTCAGTCCTATTTACTAACCAGTCTAACCATGATGGGAGCAGAAGGGGGTGTACAGGAACACGTAGCTGCCTGGTGCTACCGATGCAAAGGTTTGTGATATTCGGTGCGGCCGGGAAGTTTGCGCTAACTAGCTAGCGGGGCAAGCAGTTCATAATCATCGACCTCCCTAACGTATGGTAAAAACCTTAACAAGCGATGAGCTATGAAGTTCCGAATTAGGTTGGCAGAGACCCTTCGGCGGCGTGAGGAGCTGCATCGTGCTAACTTTCACTCTCGTCCTCTTTAGGATCTGCGAGACACGCGCTACCAAAGCTCATTCTTCTTATGGAGGCGTGGGTCAAAAGTAGTTGACCAGCGCTATTTTGGCGCTGGTCAACTACGTAGAACTTTTGATGCACGCCTCCGTAGACGTTCCTGCTATCCACGTCCCCACCAATATACGTATTTTCCACTGCTCATGACTCGTGGCGACTCACCAATCTGCATATCCAAACATGGCTACGGCTGAGAATGTCTCAGAGACTCGGTTGGGCGATATAATGCCAATCCGCCAGACAATCCCTATCCGAATGGGCCTGGATCGCTCAGTGGTCGCTAGTGGTGGCTTCATGGTGCGGGCATATCGTTCTTTGGCCCGCCGAGGAAGTATACGCTGTGTCATCAAGTGGACTGCTTCGCCTTCTTCCTATCTGAGATATCTGGCCGTCGCGATGCTGCCGTAGCATTCTTTCCATGCAAATTGTTTTGCATGGCCAGTCCTTACAGCGATAGGATTCGTTATATCCCTTTCCTATGTCATTGTCGTCTTTCTATTTCGCTTCTGGAGCCACCCTCCGTCCACTCGCTTCTTTTCCTCATCGTTTCCTAAAGACAATATGGTACAGTATCTGGGCTTGGAGGCGGTGGGATGGCAGAGTATGACAAGGAACTGGTGGCAGTTGGTGCGTCTGATGACTTATACATTGTCTGACACTTCGAATGCCAGCTAATTTCTAGAGAAGGTACTGGTCGTCGTCATACTGGGAACTATCGTCTTGGGGTCGTTGTTTGGGTTGATTGCGTTATATAGGAAAGGTCAAAAGTACTGGCGTGTACGTCTTTCTCTACCCTTGCTTGACGATCTCATGCTCACCTTAGGATTTGTTTGTTCAGGAAAGAAGTCACCTCTCAGCGGTGCCAACCGCCGTCACACGATACCTCGACGGTCTTAAGAGCAGCACACAACCACTTTTCCCTCTGCGAGTCGACGCCAAAAACCCTAAGTCGTTTGGCGTGTTCCTTGGGAGTTTGAATATTACACCGACCCTAGATCAGGCTCGTCTCCTGTCACAGTGGGACATTGTCGTCCTGGATCCTCTGCAAGCCGGAGTACTGGACGCTGTGTCATCTCAATGCAAGTCCACGCACGTACTTGGCCGGCTGGACGTGGGGATGATCCTACAATCCAATGGTGGCTCTGATGGTTCCGACGTGATTCGGTCCTTAGACATCATCACCAAGACTCTCCTCACGTCTTTCAAGCGTTCACAGGATACACAATCACACTTTACCGGCGTACTTTTGGCGCAGTGGCAAACGTATATGCAGCTAGTCATCTTCAACGAACTCATCAAATTCTTGCATGGCTCCGGACTCGACGTGTATCTCGAGGTCTCCTCGCCTGCCGTCCAGGCCGAGAGCCAATATCGAGACACTAATATGGAACTCATCAAGGGGATTGTTTGTCGCAATGGATCAATCCTCCCTGATGGAGACAGACGCAATTTCTTCCAGTCGGCTGATATGCGTCCCGCTTTGAGGAATCTGGTGGCACGGTCACAAAGGGATCCTGTTATCATGATGTGGGAGACTATTGACGACAATGTGGAGGTGACACCTGCTGTGGTGCAACGGAGTTATACTTGGTGCAAGTTTTACAACGCGATCAGCTGGATTGGGCCCAAGGCCGCGTTGACCGACGCAGAGGTTGCGGCAACGAAGACTTTGACCGAAGAACCCTCAGCAGCCCTGATGTGGTTGAAGAGAGACGAGGTTATGAAGGCACATGAGCGGTGGCGGTCTAATGATGAGGTGAGGCATTCAATTGGAAATCCGAACTATGCACCAACTAACTGTTGGGACCAGATCAGCCAGGTAGCTTGCGGCGATCATGCGATATACGATTCTTTACAGTCGTTTATTCCCAATCTGAGAGTCAAGCTGTCCCTGGGCCCACCCCGTAATGAGGAGCGAGTCGAAAGCCCCACTACTGCCATGACCGATGGATTTGATTGGACATTACCAATCCATCCCGGGCAGGCCAACCCTTTCTCGTTCTCCCCACGCGGCTATAACTACACAGGACTAGGGTGCTTCCCGATCGGCCTTGATTGTTCGTCAGAGGATTTTGAGGACCAGGTTCAAACACAGCGCCGCCTTAGAGATCTCAACCTGTTGAAACCTGTTGAGCAGAAAGAGCTTCATCGTATTGGCGAACAACTATCTGCCCTGAACCAGTCACACAGTTCCTGGGAAAGGACAGTGCATGAGTCCCAAGCTGTTAGGGAGTTGCTTTACGCACTGAGCGCTAATAATGATGATAACCACAGCCTCCTCAGGGTGTATATAGGCTTGGACTCGGGGTTCCGTACTGGCTCTGATGCTCAATTTTGGGGCCTTTACGACGTCGATCCCGCCTCAGGTTTCACGGATCTCTTTATTTCGGGGAAGGCACGTGACCTGCCGGGCACAATCCTGCACACCTTCATGTCCAGCAGGAATTGTACTCGAGCACAATGCTTTATGGCTGAAACTTCCCTTTCCAAGCAGACTGGCAGTTTGACAGAGACCTGGGAATTGCCTCCACGGCTCCTGCAGGACTTGGAGGTGCTCACTCCGACAGAGTCAATCTTGTTCATGCAGCACCTGGACCGCTCGAACTGCGAAGAATGCCTGATACTCTCAGCAAAGGTACGATCTCGTTGCAAGTACCAGCTTATGGAGGTTCCGTCACTCGCCCAGCTCAGAGCCTTGAACGCAACTGCGTACCTACGTGGCGAGGTTTCGGCGGATGACCTGGTCAAATCTCGCCTTGCTTGGTATCAAGAACGAGGTTGTCAGCACCCTGATCCCTTGGCTGCCGTCTCCCTCTTCACTGAAGTTAATGCTCGCATGCCGGGACTCCTCTTGAGTGGACAAATTGAGCTTCTTGCGGAGCTCGCACACGTCATCGAAACCGTCTTGCAGAAGAAGCGGATCGACGCCAGCGCAGACCTCTTTGCGCTGTCGGTGTTCTGCTCGATCCGCAAACTGGCCCTCGAAGAAGTGTATTTGGAGATTATGGACCGCAATCCTCTCCCAAACTCTCAATCAGACCAAGCCGCCTGCTTCGCTGAAATGTTCGCATTGGGCGCGCGCTGCGAGTCGTACTTCGGCATGACCCCTAATAGCTTGGGACAGATTCTGTCCAACAAATACACTGCCTACTATAAAGTGCACCAACCACCACCGCCCGAGGATGGATTCACCGAGCTTCCGACGGCATATGCATCCACACAAATTGACTTGGATCCGAATTACGGTCCACCACAAATACCCAATTACTACCAGGCGACTTTTCTTGGCATTTTTGCTGTTCCCGCACTTATTGATATCCTCTTGCTTACGACCATCGGACGTGGTCTCTATCTCACTGCCTATATGACCCAGCTTGAGAAATCGATGGCCACTACTGCTCTTATGGTATCTCTTCTTGTCTGCGGCGCGATCGGCTCATGGATTGGCTCCGGAGGCAGCTACTACCTTCACTCTATGGCCTTTTCTGCGATGAACATGTATGTGCTTTCTCGGTTAATTGGGGGCATCGCGTTGACCCTTGCGGGTGGTCTGCTGGCCTTAATAATTATCGGGTTTGTCAAGGGACTCTACGCTGGGCTTATTTTCTTCCTTTATTTCTTCCTTCTATCCATGTATCTTACGGTGCTAGCGGCTCTCTCCATATACCAATTTCCAGGTTTCATGTTTCAATCAGTGAGTGCATTCTCCCCACTGTCTCCTCTGCGGACCCAGGATGAGAGCATGATTACTAACATGTGACCGACTTTACCAGGGAAGAATCGGCATTATGAGATGCATACCGATTCTGTTCATCTCGCCCATTATCACGCTATGGGTTCCTGGGCACGATGCCCTAATATATCTCCTCGTAATAACAGCCCTCCTCATTTCGCTCCTACTCGAAACCCGACAGGCCGTCTCGCAATGGGGCACGTGGTATCACAAAGTCCCTTGTATCACAGACAACGATATCGTCGACTGGTACAGCAAGACAAGAGCATCGAGTAAGGCGAGTTCCGCTCTGCTAGAGGGTGTGACAGAGAAGCAGCTCCCACGTAAAGCTCTCTTGGCCGCCGTCTTCAAGGAACGGAATCGCCGACCCTGGACCAAGCCGACGACCGATGAGTTCATTTTGCGACTGGCAGAGGGATATTCCTCCACAACCTTTCTGCTGGATTGGTACTGCAAGTACACAAGAACGCAGATGCCCTACGCATATAGCTCAACGTGGAATCTCACAACCAAGGCCGCCACCGAGACTCTGCGGGACATACAGAAGGGTGTTAAGCTCCACAATGCGTTCGTGCATTGGCGCCATGCTGGCGACGAGGTGTGGTGTGGCGTCTTCTATTTTCTTATTGCTCTCCTAGACAAGTGGGTTGCAATGCTATCTGGTGGCTCAATCGTGGGTCTTTCTGCTGCGACCGACAAGACATATCGCATGGCAGTGGGCTTTGGCTTGGCCTACTACCTTATAGGTGCCGTCGTCCTCGACAGTGTCTCTCAGCCTCTGTGGCAACTAGCGAACAAGACCATTCCTCAGCCCATACGATCGATGAAATTCCTTCACGAGGCTTCCATAAAAGATGCAGAAGCGAAACGAAAGCTCTACTGGACATCTCTTACAAAGTTCTTCTTCGTACACATCTGGGGCATGTCTGTGACTGCAGCGCTCATGTGGACATTCGACAACTCTAAAGACGCGACGGTGATGTACCTTGCCTATATTGTCGCCTACACGGGTCTCCTTTGGTACCAGTTCAACAGAATCTTCACTGGAACGCTCGCGTTGAAAGATCTCATTGCAGCTCTGTGCATTGGCTTGCCGACTGGTCTTCTTCTCCATCATCTCCTGCCGCGGTTTCCGTACAGCAGCGTGATTGCTCTGGCTGTGGGAGCCTGGACGGCCGCCCTTCTCTCGATATGGACTTCTAACGTTGGGGTGCCGAAATTTAAAGATGAGCCTAGCCTGATACCAGCACCAGAACACCATTTTCATGATGCCATCGGGCCCCATTCCCGACTGTCTCAGACGGCTCTATCGGAAACATTTGATTCTATCTGCGCTCTCCCCGACGAGTTTCGCTACAAACTCGATCCATCGAGCCACCCTGGCGTCGAAATAATGGATATTCTGACTTCTCGAAGCGACGCCCGTCACTCGAAGCTTGTGCGAGACGCCTTTCGGTTGCGAAAACAAATGCTACGGCGGATTGCAGAACACTGGAGAAAGGGTGAGACTGTGGTTGAACTCGTATCTGTGCGCCATCTCAATCAGCAAGATCAGATGATTGAAGCCATAAGTCGGACTACAGGAAATCGGCTGCACATCTTTGTTTGTATCGGCCTTGACCTCGTGGGACAAGAATGGATAATGGACATTCGCGGCAATTGCAACGTTATTGCAGAGGCTATTATACATGCCACTGCTGAATCTGTACTTGGGCTGTCACATGAACATTCGACGTTCGCCGAACTGTTGGCCGTAACCCCCAAGAGCGAGGACGGACTCCCTATCCCTGAAGGCCGCAAGCGTCAGCTCAAAAATGCCGCCGTTGAGCGAGCAAGCATCATCAGAAATGGAGACAAGGAAATGCTTCGGCATCTCCTTCTCGGCTTGGACTGCGACAAGGATTGGGACAGCCTCCCGAGCACTATCAGGGCCTTTCTCCTCAAAAGATGTTTGGGAGATGCGCCTCCCGTTTCTGACGATCAAATAAGCTGGATTCACGCACGGTTCTGCCGGGGCAATTCTCTAGACGTGGACGAGTACGTAGCTCGCTGCAACCTTGGTGCCTCTTTGACAGCTCTTGTCAATTCTTTTGCTGAGACATTAGAGGCAGAGCACACTAACGGTTTTCAACAATATTCTCCTTATCCGAGCCACGAGAAATGCCTGGAGTCTCCCTTGAAGCACAGCATCGATGATTTGGATGGAAGTCGCCTTGGGTTCCTCAAGCTTCCACTATATCGAATCTACCAAGGTCTGAGGATTTGCATTAAATTCTTGGTTGTCTGCCTCGTCGCTGATCCAGAATTCCAGAGGGAGTTGGATTACGTTATGTCTACAAAACCTTGGATCATTCGCTGGCCTGTGACGTTCTTCCTTGACGGGTTTTGGATGTACTGTAAAATGCTGCAAGGAACTATCCTTCCCATTTTCCTGGTAAGCTCCGTCGTTTTTCATGACCTATATGATCTCGGAATTAATACTGATGTGTTCTGCTTATAGCTCCACGGTCGTCAAAAGGTCTCCAAGCTCTATAATGACATGAAGGGGACCAAGACAGTGATCAAGAAGGATAGGATTGTCATCGAAAACCTTAGCGGTGTCTCGACAGCTTTCCTCACAGCTCAGTCCGACGGTCGATCTGAGCTCCGTCAATATTCCGGCAACCACGACCAAGAACCCAAAGACCTCAAGGGCATTATGGCCATCAATACATATACAGACAAGCTAGTTCTTTGCCGGAGGTCGGAGTATGCCGTCAACGGGTCTCTTGTCAACGTATTTACATACGAAAACCCCAATTTTCAGGATGGGCAGAATTCAGGATCGAAGCTCGCACTCCAACGTCACTGCATCAAGGGGAACCTCGAAGGCCAAATGGTCCAGTTTGACAAAACGGGCCACATGACGTCCGGATCCTTCATCAAAAAGGATGAGCTCGTTGAGTTCAACTTCTCATACCGGAAAAATGCCAAGTTCGAAGACGAGCTTCTCCGAGCTGAGTATTTCTTCCTGGATGTCAGCATCAAAGTGTCATGGAGCGCGCCACCTGTAAATCATTCAGAGATGTTGGATAAATGGGTTCCCAACCCCAAGGTCTTGGAAGCTACGTTCGTCCAAGGCTCACTGATCTACCACAGCACATGGGACTATGACCATAGGTTCCACCCTACTATCTCAACAACACTCAACGGCGAAATGATCAATACCCCGCCAATGATACGAGATGACTGGTTTGATGTTCTGAAGAAACCGACCAATTGTAGCATCTTGAACGACAACCCGCTCTCCTCCTTTGGCTCGGTGAGCGCCAGCTTTATCTCGCGCTTGCTTCGTCGCAATATCCGGTGGTACCCAATATCAACGTCGCGTGCAAGGACTCATCTCTGGAAATCCTGGAAGTCCGGCAAGGAATATGACGCCGTAACTGCCAGATGGCTTGACGAAATCGCATTGAGATCAGATCCTATCATGAAACCGTACTGGATTGCACGGGACATGGGCCGTCTCTCCACCGCAGAGAATTATCTCAGCTCGCAAGCCGATACCGTCATGGCGAGAATCGATCTTGAACCCGAGATCAGTATGTGGACAAACATTGCGTTCAAGATTAGTGACCTCTCTAGTTTTGGCCAGGGCGGTGACACCAGGATCAACACAAGATCTCAGGCAACCCAGTTGACTGACAGCGACACTGAACTCCACGTTCTCGCCTCGGATACAGGGACTTGGCCTAACGAAAGTGGAGGCGTCTCTGCCTGCCGCCGAGACATGGTCAATAATCTTCAGAGTGTCAGGTGGCACGTCATCGCTGAATCGGCGAATGACTTCGGTGTACCCAGGTTTCAAATCGAGAAGAACGTGCACTCGCTTAAGGTGTTGCCTTTATGGGGCCTGGACTTTCTCACGCCTACGCACGGTATCTTTCAAGACTGCCTCGACTCGGCGGTTCAACGGAAAGCTTATGATACGCTAACAGAGGATATCATACAAAACTTCATTCCAATCCTTACCTCCTTGGTCAGAACTTCGAGAGCGATTCACATCGGCCCTGCGCAGGTGGAAGAGGCTACCAAGGCTCTAGTGGACTTGAATACATACTTCGAGTCTGGTCGGCACTGGGGTACCGTATGGATGAGCGACATCGTTAAGAAAGCATGGCGACAACTCTGGCTGTGTGAAGATGTGGAGAATGCAACGCCTTTGTCAGAGTGGTTGGAAGCAGAACGCCCGACGCTGATGCACCTTGATAATGCCCTGGACATGTGGCATCGCTGTAAGTACCCTTCTCTTTTGATGATCGGCTTTAGGTGTTACATGAACTGACTCAGTGCTCCCTCATTTAGATTTACTTGTCTTTTCCATCCCAGTTCCGGAAAAGATCCCGGATGTTTTCCAGGCATCCCATCACTTCACCTCTGCCTCCTACGGTGTTGTGTGTAAACTCAAGCGAAATTGTTCCCTCCACGTATGGGACCACTGCATCAGCTGGAGAGAAGTTACCGTGTTCTTATCCTCGGCCATGTCCTTTGACTCTCCGTTTGTGCGCACTGCGCTGATTTCTCTCTCACGCATGGCAGCCGTTGTTGTCCTACGCCATGCAGATGCCGTGCTCCCATGCGCCGACTTCTTCAATCCTGGATGGGAAGTAGAGATTGGGACGGGTCAAGGTGCTCTGGAGCATCGTCGAGCTTTCGCCCGAAGGATCGACCCGGTAGTCAATGGAATCCCGGACGTGCACAAGTTTAAGCCTATCGAGAAGATCAAGTCAACCAAACCCACAGCGACTATGCTATCTCATATTAGGTATGTATATCTAGTGCAGGTGCACCTGTTACCAACGCTGACAGCCACATTGAAATGTTCTGAGTGACTCAAGCTAATATTGTGAGCAGATATGTCAAAGACATCAAAAACGCCATCTTAGCCGCCGACATTATCGTCAATCAATGGGGTTTTAATGACTACCAACTTGAAATTTACGGAGATATGGAAAAGGCTGCGAGTTACTCTGTCGAGTGTCAAGAGCTTGTCGCTTCAAGATCACTTGGGAATAATGTCGCTCTTAGAGGTTTGGGCAACCCATCTAAAGTCCTTGAAGACACCGTAAGTATTTCACTACCATTCGTGTGTCACATCTGAAGCTAATTTCTAATTTCAAGTGGATTTTCTTGAACTCGTCAATTTCTGAGGGTCTACCCTTGGCTTTGGGAGAGGCCGCCCTTACGGGAGCGCCGGTTGTTTGTACTGATGTCGGCGCCTCACTCCGTGTCTTCCAGAATCCTTCCAATGGCAAACGCTACGGTTCGGTGGTCGCTCCCAACGACGTCGTCTCGCTTGCAAGAGGACAAATCAGAATGCTCGCCTTGCTCGACGAATTTAGCGAGTTTGCCGGAGACGAGGAGGGATATCATGCAAAGTTGCCGCCGAATCCCACCAAAGAAGAGGTGCAGCAGATCCAGAAGAGGATGTACGAGAAAACCGAAGAACGCCGCGCTCTCGGGATGCTGTCCCGATCCCTTGTACTCAACAGCTTTTCTCCAGAGCGATATCTTCGAGAACACGAACAGATGCTCTGGATTGGTAAATACCAAAGCAAGAGCTACCGCCACAGAGTCCACACACACCATTCCGCCAATTTTAGCGAAAACTCGACCTTGCCCGCTTCCAGTGGCGTGTCAACGTTCCGCGAAGGCACTGGGAAGTCATTCCGGGATTCCAGCGCGATGTCATCGTTGCGCAATTTCGGTGGACCTTGAACCGAAGAAAAAGCAAAAGCATCATTTTTCAGTAAAAGTAATGTAATATAGGCGGTGTTTCTTGGGGGTTCCATGGATATATCATGTACTTATAGATCATAGATGTAGAACTAATTTAGGTTTCAGCAACCGAATCTGATAGAGGTCGGATAATGAGACCTTGCCTGGTGAGGCCACAATATCATGGACCAATACAATCAGTGTTTCATTCGATGACAAGAAAGTAGCTGTGTTTTGAAAGGAAATCATGCATTCTTGGCTCTTCTTCGGACCATGATTCTGGCCTTCGTCGGAGGCAGATAAAACGTCGCTGCCCAGAAGCCTCGGGGTTTGGGGGCAACTGGCTGGATGTCATAGTTCATGAATATATAAGCGACGAGTAGCTTGAGCTTCATGCGAGCAAACCAGCGACCAGGGCATGCCTGTAGTCATCTAGTCAGCGTCCATTTTTACCATGTTGAATGCACTCCAATCACATAGATATGGGTAACTCACATGTCGTCCATGACCAAAAGGTAGATATGTTTCCGAGGGAGTGATGGACGAAGAGCTATCCCTCGAGGATCGCTCATCGGTGGCCCTTGAAAAACGAAAAGGGTCGAATACTTCGGCGCTAGGATAGTTCTCCTCATCCCTGTGAATGGTGTAGGAAGAAATTGCAACATTTGTTCCCCGTTCTAATAGCAGACCGTCCTCGGTTACGACATCTTTCATGGCCTTCCGTTGCAAGGTCAGCGCATCAAGAGGGTCGAACCTAAGTGTCTCACGTAACACGCTGTCAAGGCGATACATTTTGGCCAATGTAGCTTTACTCCATTCTCCATTTGCATCTGCTAGGACGCGTTCAATCTCATTCCGAAGGTTCTCAATGGTTCCATGTTCCGGATCAGATGCCAGTATATTGAACAAAATGTATGTGCCTATAATGGTACCGCTAAAGACCGCGGCAGAGTTGACTGCCATGAGCATGGAAGAAATAGTTTCCGGTTTTGTGATTTCTCTAGCCTGGGGAGTCTTTCGAGCTTCTTCAATGTACCATGTGAGGAAGGTATTCAGAGGTGTGAACTCATGGTTTGCATCAACGGCAGCATGGTCAATATTGGCGAGGTGTTGCTTGATGACAGGAAGGTTATATCTTTTATATTGGGCGAAGAGATAGAGAGCTGGTATCCCGAAGACCCGTCCAACAACAGGTCGAACAAATAATGGAAATGATCGCACCAATACTCCAATTGGGAAGATAAGTTGAGCATAGCGACATATAGTAGTAAGATATCTCTTGTTTCGGCCTATGTGGATGGTGAGTTTCATGGCACAACCCCATATCTGAAGAAATTGATCGATTCTTACACAATGGAGGACCAATAATCATTCTATTGGACGCCGTAAGGACTATGTGCTGCATGCTATCATACACACATACTGACTTCCACTGCTCGGTGTCTAATCCCAGCTCGTGGTCGCATGTCTGTTGCAGCTCGTCGTAGATCTCAGCGACCACCGAGCCACCCTTGAGAGTAAGGATTTTGATCAGAAGCCGATGGTACAGTGGCCGTGATATGATGGTCATGAACGGGAGTGTGTAGTCAAGCTGCAGACGCTCACACTGGAAAGCCGAAGAGCTCAATACACGAGAGGGTTGATCGATAACCCATCTTATGTTTTTACGAGGTAGTACGACGGTTGGGCCCTCTGAGACAGTAGGCACCACGCACGGACGGCTCTTGAACAGGAAATTCCACATTAGCATCAACAAGAAGCGACGGGTATGGCTCCGCAGAGAGATGAGGCTGACCAACCTGTTTGTGGACATCGAGAAGGACCTCGGGTAGTGTGGGAATTGTGTATGCTAGAGCACGAAGCCATCCAAGGGGCTGATTCTTGATACCAACCCACGGAAGATTTTTGGGGACCTTGCCCGCAAGAAATAAATTATGGAAGAAGTAGGTGAAGAGTAGGCAAAGGAGCAAGAGACCATACACGACCGAGAAGATACTGAACATAATGACAAGGTGAAACAGAGAAAGAGTACAAAGATCAATGGAGAAGCAGCCCAAAACAGCATGCAAATACTCCATCAAGAGATGCGACATCTGGCTTTCTTGTAGTGCGAGAATGCTAGGAGCTATTTAATATTCCAAATCATATTTTGTGGGTGTGACACTGGTACACCGATTCTTACCGATGGAATACCCTGCATTGAGTCGATCAGATCTCATCTGGCGTAGAACTCCGCACTAAGTATCATAGAAGTAGTACAGACAGCGCTCCCCCCCACACATGTTATCAATGTAAAACTCCCACTGATTTGACAGTAGAAGCCTGACGTGGCCGGATAGATCGATCATCGGCCACATGATGAACTGTGCTGACTAATCGACGGATCAGTGTTGAAATAGCAAGTTGTTCTATCTAAATGAGTGCGAAGAGCACGTATTTATACGTACAGATGCTGCGTAGCGTGAAACGCAGATACCAAAAATACATGCGGATCTCATGCGAAACGCGTATCAGATCTGTAACAAAACGTATATGAAACGCATGGTCAAACGGCGCTCAAACAGTTCAACACATTCTTGCTTTTCGTCTGACCAGGGAAAGGCCTTGAACTTACCCTTCAATCCTATCATTGCTTACTTGCACCAGTCATATCACCAAAAAACTGGAAGATTGAAAACTTAACCTATTCACAATGAAGATCCGAAGCGTCGACCCTTCAAGGACAGTGTGTAGACCAAAGTATGGCCCCTTCCTTTGGTGGTCCGGACTGCTTGTTTTTCAGCTAGATATAGTCGACTACTTCATACCTTCATAGAAGGAGCAGTACCTCTACAAAGATACATAACGGTACGCAGCGCCTGAGCGGATAAGACTCTGCTCATGAACATCTTTACGACGACGTCGACTACGCAAGAAACACTGCAAGAGACACTCAATCTTCAAACCCATGGAGCTAAAGAATCACTCACGCACAGGGTTGCTAAAGTACTCATACTCTCAGAAGACAGGGCTATTGACTCAGTTCAATCAGATGGCCATTGGTGTGGCGAACTCAAGTCAAATGCCACCATCACTGCTGAATATATATTTCTTTGACAGGCGATCGGCATCCACTTCAATGTTGATGTGAGGCATTGTGTCACTATCTGCTATCTCAGCAGAATGATGCCGGATCTTGGGGTCTTGCCCTCGAGATTCTTGGTGACCTCTCAACCACCGCTGAGGCATTCTTGGCTTTGAAGATATTGAAAACTCCAAAACTCCAATCGACGCCATACCAATGCAACGAGCACACCATTTTGTGTTGGCAACTGGTGGTATAGCCGCGTTTCGTGTTGTTACTCGGATCTTCTTCACAACTTTCGATCTGATTCCCTGGGAGGCGGTCCCTTAGTTGCTGGTAGAGCTTGTTCTCCTGCCTGCAATATTCCCCATCAATATTTATGCACTGGCGTCTTGGGCACGAAGTACTATTATGCCTCTTCTCATTATATGCCATCATCGACCAATCTACGCCCTGACAAACGGAAAGTCTGCTTAGAATGACTTTTTAGACGAGTTGTAGTGTGAAGCGGCAAACATTCAATACCATGCGCTCCACCCTTATATGACCTATTGGGGCGAGGCGATGCATATGGATTCGCATTCACTGCCGTTGACAAGATACTTGGTCAGCTTGGTGGACTACGATCTGTGCCTCTGTTGCGAAGCTACGCACGACGACAATGCGAGGGTTGGATTCTAGAGCATCAGGAACCATCCGGAGGAAAGTTAGTAGCCAGTTGCTGACTGAAAGACTCAATCAATAGTATGACTCCGATAGATCAATGGAGCATTATGTTTGCTTCAACAAGAGTCTTAATCCTCCCGACAGTGATACAACGTACGATCAACTCCTGCTTTACTGGGCCGGATCCACTGTTTTGGAGGAGACTATAAGTTTATTAGTCAACTACAGCTTTGACAAGATAATCATGCGAACCTAGGTATCTGAAATATGCAAGATGAGGGTAAACTTCCACCATGGCCGCCACATCCACCAGAACATAAAAGCGAAAGAAAACAGTAACCCGTTCAAGCCAGATGAATCATTGTGCCCAGGAAATAACAAGAAAATTCACAAACCCATGCATCAGCATTTCCGGCCACCTGATGAACATGTCCTTCATCGTTCTAAACATCACCACATCGCCATTCATCACCTCTCCTTCTCAGAAGCTTCCCTCTCCCTGCTGCACCTCGCTGGCTCCCGAAATCGCCCTCCCATTTCCCTTCTTCACCATTGGAAACAGCCGTATGCGTATCATTTCCTCATAAATCTGCGTCGTTGGCTGGGTTTAGTCGAGTGGTTTGAGGAAGTCGTACCATTTTCCTGATCTGGAAGTTAACGCGTCGGAGCTGTGATGCTGGTGTTTTTCTGTTGGGATGGATTGGACAAGAGGAGTGATGGAGGAGATGGAGGAGCTGCGGCTTGGCTGGGGTGCTGTCGTCGAGGTTGTGGAGGCCGACCTTGAGGTTGAGCTGGATGTGCTTGGGTTTCTGTGGTAGGTCTGGGATGCTGGGCTGAGGAGGTAGTAGGCGGCGTAGGTTGTCATGTTGGCGGAAGTGAGGCAACGAGATACTCGTATGGAGGTGTGGATTGCTTTATGAAACTTTGTATGTGGAAGTCGGGATGATTTGATGATTCTTCGAATGGAAGGACAGTCAATTGAATACACGTGTACGAAGTCCTTATCTGACTGACGAGTCTGGAGAGGTCTTGAATTTGACTTCTTGAAGAAAAGCAGACGAACAGAAGAGTCTTTAACTTTATATATCATCAATGCACTTACTGCACTGGACGCAACACGAGAAGTCCACCCGTGGGCTTTTTCAGCCCCACGCCCTAGAAACAACAAGCACAGTCACAAATCCAACGCCCAACCGCCCTCCCATTGGTCAGCCCATGACATGTCCACAGGGCGCGCGGAGTCATCCCGTAGTGGGGGTCCAGTGGACGAGAAGACCTTCCCTTAGCAATCAGGAGAAGCAGAGTGGGATGACCTTGCAACAGAGAAATTGGTCTGCCTGCCCATAGGGGTTTGAGCTTGGCGGCTTTCCCGCTCTGCCGGCCACTTACTACTAGTACTACGGTATCAAGCAGAAGTATTGTTAGCAAAAGGCTAGTAACTTGGCGGAACATCAAGTATCGAGCGGTAAGATTAGTCCGGAATGAGCTAAGCGGTATGGATAAAGATGATCTGTGTGGCTAGACCTGAGAAGAAGCTTCTGGAACAGGGTGTAAGGACGTATTAAAACTAGTCATTCTTAGCACCGTGCAAACAGTACTTCTGCCCGATACCGTACTAGTACTAGTAGAAGTCGAGAGATTGGGAAGCCTCTTGGTTAGGGTTGCAACGGAAGGGCGTGAAAAGCACTGGCGGTGCTAAATCATGTAGCAGTGTGGCGTGGGTCATGCAGTTTGATTGGCTCGCGGTAAGGCTTGCTTACTACGTACTGAGCAGGATTTTGGCTTGCATGAAGTTGTCGCGCCCTTTTGTCAAGACTTTGTTTCTATTTGTGGCCATGGGTGCCGATATTTTTTCGAGAGCCATGAGGTGTATACCCGGCAGCTATATATCGAGGCAACTCAATGGCCTCCTGCCGCTTCTTGCTGCTGAGGAACGTAGTACTGTACAGTCTGCGGCGAGATACATGCTGGCGCTTTGTTGAGTCAATCACTGCACTGCAACCTCAGTAATGCACTCCATGTCTCACCGATAACTAGCGAGTGCCTGGAAATACTCAATCCTAACTTAGAGGCCAGCTTTGTCCACCGTAAGTCACATGAGGACACTTATGTAAGCAGCATCAGCAGAAACACATCAATTTCCCTACATATTCTACAATATATACTCTTCAAAAAACACATCCCAGTGTCCTCGGACACATGGCCTAGCGGTTTATCTGCTGGGTAGCAAAACTTCCCAGTTTTCATAGCGGATGTATCTCTCCTTCCAGCATCTAACCTCTCCTTCGGCAAAGTTAGAGAGTGGAGGTACACATGAAGCGAACTTTTTGCACTTTCTCTACAGTTAAACCTAAATATCTGCACCCACTTTCCCTTATGATTCTCTGCAGTTTTTGCTTCACTACCTCAAATAGTGCTTTACATTTGACATAGATATTTGCTCTCGAAGAGGTCTATTGTTGCCCCGTTAGATTTTTTGTCCTCCTAATCTAATTTTGAACCTTGGAAGAGAGATACTTTCACGTATCCCGCATTTGGCGCAACAAAAGACATGAAAAGTCTACACCCTTGACAATTCTTCTGGACGGCTTACAAGGAGATAACGGTGATTACAACGTTGTGACGACTGTACAGCGTGGTCTTCTTCAACTCCTCGATGCCACATCAAAGGTTGTCGTTAACATTCCTCCAAATCACATGCAGTCTAGGACTAAGACGATCAGTCCTAGAGAGACTGACGAGGTTCACAACATTAGCGTTCATCCTAGACACGTTTTTGGGAAACAGCTTTTCAGTCCAGGTCGTAGATATCTAATCAGATTCTCCCAGAGCATCGGATGAAGCTGGTGTCAGTATGGCCCAAAAGAAGAACACACTGATCACCTAGAGAAAGATCGACCAAAGCCTCCACCCCTGCACCCCGAGCTTGGTCCGATCGAGCTCACAGTGAGAGATGATCTCTCGCCTCCAACTTTCACGGTCTCTGTACAAATGTCCTCAGACATTTGCCACATTTCCCCCGGCTCGCTGAGATTCGCGTTCATACTCTCCATCACATCCCATGAAACTCGTCCCATCGCCGCCGCTATCCAGTACACACCACTATATTTCCTGCAGGGCCTCGACGAGATCTTCGTTATAGAAGATCAAGACACCAACCAGATCCTAGAGCTGCCCTGTAGCGTTGGTTGTTGACTGGACAACTCATATTTAGAGGAATTCCCGCACACGTTGGTACTGCTGGAATTGCTTCCAGAGGAGTCATAAGTGAGG